TTTTTGGTTGCTGACACTGTCATCTCCTCCTCATGATGATATAATATCCGGAAATACAGGCACCATGTTTTCTTGACTGTTGAATCCACAAAGTTTGGTAAAGTGTTTGGCCCATTATAGTATACTCATTCATTCAGCTAGCATGTTATAAGCAGCTGTGATGCTATTAAGGTTACCAGCACTTGATAAATGTAGGAAAATAATCTTTGTTTTTTACCTGTAATTTAACTGTTTCAAAGGTAAAAATCACAAAAAAGAATACGTCACTGTACCATAAATTGTGTTTATATAAAAAACTAACTTGCCTAGGAGCTTAACCCACTATATACAGAGAACTGTATATATTTGAAGTTCCTATGGTTGTAATTTTTAGACTGATAAATAACTTTGAAATTAAATTCTGTCAAACTAAAATATCATAAGCAATCTCGATCTAAAGATACATCATTAATAACAGTATACTATTGCTTATATGTCCTTTCAACTCTTGCTTATCCTCAGATTAGAAGAGGTTATGAAAAAAATACTGTCCTTCTGAAACATTCAAAAGATATTGAAAACACCATTAGGAAGCAGAACTGCAAAGAAACTGTCTTAAGATGCTCTGAATAGATTTCATATTTTTAAAATATGTCTTACTAGGTGCCCTAAGACAGTGGAAAACTTCTGTGTTCACAGCAGAAATGGTTATTATAATGGACATACATTTCACCGTATAATTAAGGTAAGTTATGCAAATATTATGACTTAAGGAATAGTATGTTAGTACATAACAAGAGGTTTAAACCTAAGGAGTTTTAATCTCTCACACTTAGTTTATTAGAAAGGAATACGAAAAATGGACTATGGAAGCTAAAAGAACGTCATTAATATCAGACCTAGAACCAAGAACAGGAACAGTAGCATAGTTACCTTCTTAGAAACAGTGCAGCAATATTCTGTCAACAGTTGAAAACAAGGTCATTCTGAGATAAAACCAATAGCCAAAGTAAGTGGTTCCTAGTGGCTAGAGAAGGTCTAGATCTAGAAGATACAATTTTAAATAATAGAAGAGCCCAGATGCCACCATTAATACCTGAGGAGCAGAATGAACTCTGCCCAGGATTTTGTTGAGCAGCATTCCATAAAATGGATGGGGCAGTGATGTAGTTCTTGGTTACTGAAAGGTCATAAATGGTAAGGAAAAAATCAAATTTCAGGGTTCTGGAGGAATTAGTGAAATGAAACCCAGAAAATCCAAGTGTTTAGGGAAAGGAAGAAGAGTGGAACAGTTATATAAGACCTAAATACTAATATATATAGATCCTAAAACGTATTTACACTATTAATTGGTTTTAGATTATTGGGGAAGATAATACATGTCTATAAATGAAGAGACCTTTGCATTTTTATTTTAACCATTGAAATTAGGTAGCAGTTGAACAATGGAAATACATCCTCCAAATTAAAGTATAAATTACTAAGAGTTTAATAAAAATTACTTTATAGAGTAACTGTTAAAGGTTTTTACTGAATACAAAGCACTCTTGGCAAACATAAGAACTCCAATGCATATTTACAGAAAACAACAGTGTAATATGTTTTTGTATACTTTCTGTTAAGGGCTTCATGATTCAGACAGGAGATCCGACAGGTACTGGTATGGGAGGAGAAAGCATATGGGGAGGAGAATTTGAAGATGAATTTCATTCAACATTACGACACGACAGACCATATACACTCAGCATGGCCAATGCTGGGTCAAATACTAATGGATCTCAGTTTTTCATAACAGTGGTACCAACGGTAAGTAGAACAATATTGTCTGCAATAACTAAGAGTGAATTCAGTGGAAGATAGAGCTGCATTATTCTTTACTATTATTTGTATCTACCAGAATGTAAAAATGAAAACAACTTAGATTAATAAATATAAAATTACCTAACATCCAATTTTACTTTGTAAAACAATACTTCCGTAATTTAGGACATTTGAGTTTTAGTCAGCTTTGCTACTATTACTGTTTTGTGGAAGCCAAAAGTAATTATTTTGCTTCTCGGCCTGTTTGCTCATCTTTAGAATGGGAAGATTAGAATATATGAATTCCTGATTTTAAGACTTTTTTCCCCATTTTTATATCTCTGAAGTCAGAATGCAACCAGTGATCCATGGCATTGTGGATTTGATGGGAATGCACTATAAGAATATACTCTACTGCTATGCAGTTCCACAAAATTATAAAAATTATACTTCATTTTTTGGAATTAAGCACTAAGCAGTGAAGGAAAAATATTTATAACTACTATCTGCCAGTCACATAGTCTCATGTAATATTCACAATACTTCTAGTATCACTATACCAAGTTTTAAATAATTGATGAGAAAACAAAGAGTGAGACATGAGTAACTTGCCAAAGGTCAAGTAAGTAGCAGAGCCAGCATTTGAGCTACTCTCTGGTGCCAAAGCACATGCTGCTTAAACTATTCCAGGTTGCCTTTTAATTGTGCAGGTAGGGTTCCTGCAGAGAAATTTTAAAGTCTTAGCCATAATTCTTTAAGCCATGCAAAGAAACTTACCTTTAGCAAACATTTTCCACCTCGCTTTGGTCTGAAAGATACAGCTACTTACATTATACTATATATATTTTTTTCTAAACATGGAAATCACTCTTAAAATCTGCTAAATGAAACTACTGTAATCTTTTTAATTACATAAAGAAGTAAGCATAAATTTAAATTCTCTTTAATTTGCTCACCCAAAGGGTGTGATTTAAGAAATCTGGGTTTACTAAGATTTTCCATTTGTCCTCCAACACAGCCTTGGCTTGATAATAAGCATACGGTATTTGGACGAGTGACTAAAGGAATGGAAGTTGTACAAAGGATCTCCAATGTCAAAGTTAATCCCAAAACAGATAAGCCCTATGAGGATGTCAGCATCATAAATATTACTGTCAAGTAAACTAAAATTGTTTCATTGTATTGTGTAAATAAAAATACACATTGTAAACACAGGATTATTTTACATTATGAATCTCTTAAGACTAGTTGAACATACAAATCATGTTTCAAGTTTTATATTTTTATATTTTTCATTAAAGTCCACTTTTTTAAAATTCTGCCTTTTTCTTGCAATATTTCTCATCCTGGGAGGTGAAAAATTGAAATGAACTACACTCAGGCAAATAGCACTCCTTATACATAATTTCTCATGAGATTCAAAACCATAAGAATGGTATGCATTTTTAAAATATGTCAAATAATCTGCCCTCATGTTTCATTAGGTCCACAAATAAAGGGCGCCAGGATCTGACTGTATATACTATTTCCTTTCTTTTACAAGATTTATGTTCTATGCCGATTAGTTTTGTCTTTTGATCATTGTTAAATAGTAAGTAGTGGTAAGTAAAACTTAATGCATAAATAGGAAGTCCCTTTGGTCAAAAGTGTTAAATTCCCTAATAATTATCAAATATTCTTTCGAATATAAGAATTACAGTAAATGAATACCTGAGTCCTTGGTTTTATATACAGATTCACTTACTATTTCATATTTTTCTAATGTAGTTAATAATTTTTCTTAAAAAATGTCTATTTCACAAAAAATAAATTAAAAAAAATTTTTTTCTGTCCTCAAGTTTATAGCATGTCTTTTCTTACCCTATTAAATATGCCATCAAAAAATATATAATGAGTAAAAATTTTGAGACCTAATAAATGGAGAGATTAGTAGACATTGGAGCAATAAAACAATGTAAGTCCAAAGTCTTATATTGATTCCTTTACTTCTTCACTTACCCTCATAACTTACTTCATAACTGTTAAGAGCTGCTGCTTCTAGAGCTGGCCGAGTGGCGCATTGGTTAACAGCTGGCTTGGGACACCAGAGGGCCCGGGTTCGGATCCCAATATGAGGGCCACTGACACTGCCCTCTACAGCTAAGATGCTGAACAACAGCTCAACTTGGAGCTGGGCTACCATGAGTCGCCGATGATGGCATAGGTGCAACCCCTGCTGCAGTGGGTTGCCATGGGCTACCGTATGTAGCCAGCAGCCAGCGTGAGCGGCCNCTATTATCACCATTTAGAATGAGGAAATGGACGAAATGAATTTACGTCCTGCAAGTCACATAACTATTATAGTAAATGGCAGAGCTGGATTTCAAACACAGGAATTTTAAACAGTGAAACAGTAAGCAACAGGTGGCAGGTTACGACTGAACTAGAGAGGTACCTTACATAATACTGCATCTTGTTAAATGTGTACTCCAAAAATTTCCACCCCAAAGGATCTTAAATCTTATTTGAAATCATACATCTTCATTATATGGATTATTTTCATATTAGATAAGTATAAAAATAATTTAACTGCCTTATATGTCCAATAATAGGAAGTGATTCCTGAAATAAGGATTTATTCTGATGTGAATTCTTACTTTTCTCGAATACTGCATTACAAATGAATTCTTTTAAATCAAAATCATAAATTAATTTTTATAACAAACTTGTAATAATTTTGTTTTTTATTTTAAAGAATCAACATGCTATTTAAAAAGTTACTAAACTTGAGAAATGAAATTTTCTTGTTCATAATTGTTAACCAAATGAAAAATTTAATTCATTCACTCACTTTTTGTTTCCTCCTTGAGTTTACCAAACGAGAACCAGAAGATACCAAAAGTGCAGATTCTGACCGAGATGTTTTTAATGAGAAACCTTCTAAAGAAGAAGTCATGGCAGCTACTCAGGCTGAAGGACCTAAACGAGTTTCAGATAGTGCAATTATCCACACAAGCATGGGAGACATTCACATCAAACTTTTTCCTGTTGAGTACGTACTGTTTTTGTTGTCTTAAACACCAATGTAAATGTGTATATTTAAAGAAACTGTGCAACTTGAAACTCTTGTTATTTTGCCTTAGGAATTTTAAAGAATTGATATGTGTGATATAGCAACACCCTGAGATTTCTTGTATCTGTTCCACTAGAAAATGGGAAATTTTTATACATATATACACATACTTAACAGGTTTATAAAATAAGGACAAAATACCTTGGCTATTAAAGTGCTAAATGTAAACTATAAAGTGATATGCAGATATATATTGCTATTACTACTAATTGCACATCCCAACTATACGTTTTGTGGCTTGCTTATTTTAACTGGCCTTCCTCTCAAAGCAAATCCTTAAGGAGAGGATAATTATTTTTCCTTCCTGACATTTGCTAGACATCTACTACCTCTTCCTTAGTCCCAGTAGTTACATGTTTTAAAAATCCAGTAAAACATATAAGGGCTTCCATTGAAAAAGGAAAAGTGTTCTGGACAGTTTAAAAGTTTGCAAAATGAACATACAATACCAAATACAATAGAGTGTCTCTGGCTAGTCTTAATGTAAAGGGTGACATCTTTTACAACACCTTTACTTAAAAGTACTTACTTATCAGATATGGATGTTTATCATGCCATATCTTGGTACTGAACAAGGAACTAGGCAGTTCTAGCATCCTAGACCATCTCATTTCAAGTGCTCAGAACCCATGCACCCGTTAAGCCTGTTGTTTCCTGATATACTTCATGCAAGATTCTCTTGATTTTTCTCTTCCTCTCCCAGCTCAAAGAGCTAGTATTACATGATGTACTATATTAAATCATCCCGAGATTAGTTAATATTCTTTAGAAAGCTTCATATTCAGTGTGTGTGATTGTCATTTAAAGTTGATTAAATATAGGAGATATTTCAGTAAGTCCTTGGTCAGGAATGTGTCACTGTACCATCACACTGTTTTTATTAAAAAATTACCCTAAACCAGAATAAGTGGGTTAGAAAATAATTGCCTTTTATTAATCTTTTCTTTTTAATGGATGTATAGCTCACATTTATTTCAATGTTTAATAGAAGTGTTTTGGGTCTTTATTTAGATGTTTGGTGATGTTTTTGTGACCAGAAGTAATGCTATAGGAAC